ACCTCCTATTAGCTGAAAAAGGAGGACTATGCTTGGCCTTGGGAGAAGAATGCTGCCTGTATGCTAATAAGTCTGGGATAGAAAAACAGAATTTAGCCAAACTCCAGAAAAGTTTACAAGAAAGAGAAAAACTAAGGCAAGGAACTCCAGGGTGAATGGAACAAATGTTCTCCCTCCCACTGTGGATGACTAGTATAATAGCGACCGTAGCTGGTCCTCTTGTTATGATTCTAGTGTTAGTTACTATAGGCCCATGCATAATCAATAAGCTGACTGCATGTATCAGACATCAGATGCAAAATATAAAATTAATGATGGTTAGGCAACAAACATACGAGCTTGTCCACAGAGGCCCATAAGTAGGCCAAGGATTTGGCCTAAAGTCACAACATCAGAGGGGAATGTTGTACTCTAAGAAAAATAGCTTCATTATATTTGTATTATAGCAAATTACCTGTAACATGGCCATACCATATACTTCTCCCTCTGGGTAACCTAATTGATATGTTAATCAATGCTCTCCTCTGTAAAGAAGTGCAAAATCTTACCTAATTGATATGTTAACTATTGTTGCCCTCTACAAATAACAGATGTGGTGCTAAAATAAGCTAACAGGGGTTGTTAATTACTGTTAGACTTCTCTATTTTCTGCTGAGGAAACCAGGATGTTTTCCTAATTTAAACTTGTTTGAAGGGTAACTTGCTTTTATGCAGGGAGACTTGCTTGTTAGCACAACCCTTACCTGATCTTGTTCTCCATCCCCCCAAGAAAAGTAATCTCACCGTACGTAATGTGCCCTACTGCCTCCTCTTATGCTGCATGCACCAAAAGGGTTAAGTTTCAAATCCTCGTAAAGACTTAAGTTTCAGCTTCTTGTAACTTTCGACCCCTTCTCACATGCTAGTGCTAAGGAGCTGTCCCGAGATAATTAACTGCCTCCCCCGCTTCCACATGTTATTGTTAACAAGTTGTCCCAAAATAATTAACTTTCTACTTTCTTTTCCGAATTGCAGATATGCTATTCCGAGATAATGCTTATCTGCGGAATGGGAGTAACTTGAAAGGCACCAAAGGCTCCCGATGTTATCAGAATTAAGTGGACAGCTTTACAGTTTCCAGACTTGAGTCAGCAGCTTAACAGCTCTGTGGTTTTTTTTTTGTTTTTGTTTTCTCCCTCTCCTGCTTTTAAAATCCCCTTCTTCAGTCTCTGCGGCACACAGTCTTTGGGTCGATCCTGGAGAGACTGTGCAGCCAGGCCTGGAAATAAAGCCTTTGCTTCCCAAATTTCAATCTCTTGCTTCCTTGGATTTTATTCTGGGTCCGAGCTATCACACCTCTCACCTTTCCCTTTCCAGCCCAGCCCTCTACTTTCGCAATCACCTCCCACATACACTACCTGCATCTATGTTTTTGTTTTAGGTTTTGCATTTTAGGGAACCTAAGTGAAGGTAGGAGCTCGGGAAGTTTTCTTCTCTATAATTTCTTCTCTTCCTCTGATACAGGTATCTGGGATCGAATGAAGACGGGAGCCCTGCAATTTTCTAAATTTTACATTCATCCCACAGTATCATTTGTAGATCAAATCCACACATTAGGCAAAGCCCCTGACTGTAAAGAAAACCCTAGTTGAATTTTTGTAGGCAACATAGCTTTTTGGAAAGATCAGTACACAGCTGTAGTTTCTTATTTGTGTGGCTATCAGTATGGGGGATTGAATCCAGGGCTTTGGCACTGACTTACACCCACATTCCTTATTTTATTAGTTTGAAACATGGTCTTGCTAAATTGCTAAATGGCCCAGACTGAGCTCAAACTTGTGACCCTCCTGCCTCAGTCTCCCAGAGTGATTGGATTATAGTCGTGGCCACCACTCCCAGCTGGTTTCTTTTTAAAAGTGCTGGCATGCAAAATCAATTCCAAAACAAAACAAATACAAAAACAACTCCACCCACCTGCTTCTCAGTCATGATGGCATAGGACTGAGTGCTGCCACCAGAGGGTGGCAGAGGCCAGGGAGCTGGTGGAGAGGCAGCGACAGTCATAATTTATAGGCCAGAGATGAATGCAGGCAGTACTAACAGTTATCTGGCGGGTTACATGTTGATCACTGTCATAATCAGGGGTTGTGCAGAGAACAGTTAGAATCAGGACACAGAATTTATAGTATTATTTCTGATGGTCACCCAGAATTTAACACACACAAAAAATGCAAGAAATCTGTCCACAACACTAAAGACCCAGAATATCCAGCCAAGGGCATGAATCCCACAGCAGTGTCCTGCATGAGTCCAGATGAAGACCTAGAGCCCAGGACAATGCCTCCCATGAGTCCAACTGGAGGTCTAGAACCCACAAGAAGGACTCACGACAGTCTCTTTTACAGATCTGTGCTGGGAAGGCCCAAAGGTCAGCGGTGGAGGCCAGAAAGTGTGCCAGCAGGATGAAGGAGCTGTGCTGATAGGTTGAGGGTTCTACACTGGAGCCAAGAAGTCACGCTCAAAATAAAGACCAGGGCTGTCTGAAAAGCACCACAGCCGTCCTCAGCGACACGGAGGCCCCGAGCTCCTCTGACAATGAGAACAGTAGAGTACATGCCAGGAAGTCAGCATGATGAGTTTGTCCTGGAGGTTAAATGGCACATGTCTTCCCCTCCAGAACTAGGAAGCAATGCTCGATGTAAGGACCAGAGCTCCCCCAAAGTGAACCACAGCCACTCTCACCAACAAGGTCCTGAGCTCCACTGATGACAATGATCTAACTCACACTGGGTAAAGCTAGTCATGACCAGCTCTTCCAGGAGAGCCAACGGCTCAAACAGCAACACGTAGGAAAACCCACAACACCTCGTGTCTCTTCTCTACATCTCTATTTATGTTGGCAACTTTCCTTAGGTGGAACGTGTATGTTCAGCACCATGCTGATTTAGTCCAGCTGGCGTTAAGTTGCCCACCAGTTTTTAATCCATAGAAGTCATTGTGTTGGGCAAGAAAAGAAATCATACAAAGTTCAGAGGCAGAAATCAGAGGCGAGATCAACCAAGGAACAGAACAAAGCTGAATTAAAAGGGATGTTTGGCAGGTCAGCCAGGAAATGCCCAAAGACAGGGAGTCTAGAAGCAGCAACATCATACCAGACAGAAATTCGAGGACTCATTTCTGACCAGGTCAGCTGTGTCTCTGATGGAGAATCAGTCTTGGCAAGTGGCTCGGATCATTGAGGATCAGGTAAGCTGCACATTTATTTCACCCTGATCAGAATTTATTTAGTTATTGTTATGGATTAAGAACTGGTGGTCAACTTAACGCCAGCTGGGTTACATCAGCATGGCACTGAGTGTAGATGCTCCACCTGAGGAAAGTTGCCAGCATAAATAGAGAGGTGGAGTAAGGCAAGGGAAGGCGTTAATGTGTCACTGCGTTGAGGCATTGTGGGTTCTCCTACGAGTTGTTGTTTGAGCTGTTGGTTCTCCTGGAGAAGCTCTGGTCCTCACATCGAGCATTGCTTCCTTGCTCCAGAGAGGAAAATGTGTGCCACTTGGTTTCTAGAATGAACTCATCATGCTGCTTCCTGGCATGTACCCTGTGCTTGTCGTCAGAGGAGCTCAGGGCCTCCATGTTACTGAGGATGGCTGTGGTGCCTTTCAGGACAGCCCTGGTTTTTGTTGTGTGATTTCTCGGCTCCAGCATAGAATCCTCATCCCACAAGCACAGCTCCTTCACCCACTGGCATGGACTTTCTGGCTTCCACTGATGACCTTTGGGCCTTCCCGGCATGGATCTGTAAAAGAGACTGGACTCATGTGGGACACTGCTGTGGGATTTAAGCCCTTGACTAAATTATCTATGTCTTTGGTGTTGCGGATAGATTTCCTGCATTTTCTTGTGTTAACTCCCGGTGATCATTATAAAAATAATATTATAAACTCCATGTCCTGATTCTAGTTGTTCTCCACACAACCCCTGACTACAACAGTTATGGATGAGACAGTCTCACTGTATAGTTTAGGATGACCTTCATGACCTCCGGCCTTAGCTTTCCAAGTGCTGGGTTTACAGGTGTGTGTCACCAGGCCCTGGCTTTGGAATTTAGAGAGTCCTTCTCCTGTGCAAATATTAAACTTTCTTGATGGGTCTCAGCTGGGTTGGACAAGATCCAAAAGAGACCCCTTTTCAGGGGTGTATGAAGGTGATGAGGGACCCCCCAGATTCAGAGTGGGGGTGATGTCCACGGACAATCTAAAAGCTGTACTGAAGCTGAGTAAGGTACAAGGATTCAGCTGCTGCTACATTCTCTCTTGGGTGCTCTGTTTTCTCTTGCATGGTAGCCACCCTCACGCTGTAGGGTCTGCCTCTCTTCCTGCTTTTACGTGGCCCAAACTTGCTCTGCAGAGCTTCTTTTCCTACCTTTAATAAAACTTTGCCACTGTTAGAGAAACAGACATAGACAGAGACAGGATGAGTGCACTTTGTTATCACTTGTCTTGGTAGCTTTTCTCTTTTTGCTGGGACAAAATACCCGACACCCAAAATGAGGGAAGGAAAGGTTTGTTTATTTAGCTCACGGTTTGTGGAGGTTTCAGTACATAATCATCTGGCTCCAAAGCAGAGAGTGGCATTGTACCAGGGAAACACTTCAAGGCAGCAGCCAGAGCAAAAAGTGAGGGAGAGCAAGCCTCTTCTCCCTGATACTGTACACAGGCCACCCCGCCCTCCAGGGAGGTACCTGTAGCACTCACAAAATCTCTGTACCTTCTTTTGCACAGGACCAGGATATTTACAAAGTAAGAAACCTGGCTCCCTGCTGAGTCTCTTAGTTAAAATTCTAAACTTCTCAAGTTGACACAATGTATCAATCATAATGTCCCCCACATCCCAGTAATTCCATACAACCTGATCAGTGACAAAATCTTCCTTGTTGGACAGGCCACACTGGACTTTTCTACCCCCTCCCTGATTACAGTGGCACTCAGGGAGTCACCAACAACAAACAGCAGTGAGTCTTTGTTGATTTCAATGTTTTATTTTTCAAAATATACAATTCATTTACATCCGTATTTCACAAGTGTAGTTTTTTATATTTATTCCAAAATCTTTAAATAGCCCGCAGTAAACAGTACAAATCACAGGATCGATCAAACTGCTTTTCTTCAGCCTTTCCACTCAGTAAGTTTTTAAGTTTCAAGTAGTAGTGGTGTGTGGGTAAGAAGGGCACTAAAACCAGGGCAGAATGTTTTTTTCTTTTTACATAAGCTCCACACATAGGATTAGAAAGAGCCGTCCGGCCAGCTCCTTGGTCCTGGGGCCTGGCTAAGGATGTTTGTGTTGTTTATAAATAAGACCCTCAGAACACAAGGGTGTTGGTTATAGGAAGGGCAGGGCTCATCTGACCGCAGCCTGGGGTGGGGGATGGAGCCAAGGCACAAAGGCTTCCTGGGGCTGGAGGAGGCACTTGCTAGGAGGTGCTGAGAGGATGCGCTGCCCACCGTGCCAGGTGCGGACCAAGACTTCCTGGGCCTAGGAGCGGCTCCCACCAAAGGACCGGCTCCCACCAAAGGACCGGCATCTGCAGCCTCCCTTGGGGAGAAATTCTGTGCTTCTGGGGCAGGGGAGAGGTGGCTGTAATAGCTGGCATGTCCCCAAGACAGGGTTAGGGTTCCTGCCAGCCTTGGGCTGGTGCCAACTACCCTCAAGCTCCTGCCCAGGCAGGTAAGGGTGGCCAGCTGAGAATGGCAGGTGGCAGCTGAGGGGCCACGCTGGGGTCTGGGGGTGGCCTGTGGGAGGTGTCATGCTGTCCTGTCTTGAGAGAGCCTTTCATTCACCTCAGAACCACCAAACCCTTGCCAGAACTGGAGAGGGTACAACAGGGCCCAGACCGCACATGCCCATTACAGCAGCTATTTGTGACAAGGCGGCTCCTGGGGGAAGCCCAGGGGCTAAGGCACAGGTGGGCACACCCTCGGCCCCAGGGGTCAGTTTCCTTCATGCCCCTGGGGGCCACTGGCTGTGCCCTGAAGCAGTCCTGTGGGCTGAGGCTGGAGCAGGGACAGTGGTGGAGAGGCCAGGCTGCCCTGGGAGAGACGTGACCCTCCCATGGTGGGCCAGGGGGACAGTCCTGCCTGGAGAGACCCCGGCACCGTCCACCGAGCTGGCTCTGCAGAGCTGGTGTGGGTGGAGGGGCTGCAGGGCGAGGGCGGGAAGGATGGCACAGGAGCTCACTGGGTCTTCAGCCGCTGTTCTTCTGGGGCCATGGTGCGGAACAAGTGATCCCACAGTTTAGTGCTGATGCCGAAGCCTAGAAAGGAGGCGGGTGAAGGGGGAGAAGATGAGGTGCCAAAGAAATGCAGCCCTGAGGTCCTTCCCAAATCGGGGCCCATCCTGGCAGGCGCGAGGGCAGGGCACCTGGGCCTGGTGTCCCCAGCTTAGAGGCTTCTCCCTTCCTCTTCCTCTCTCTCCTCCTGCTGCTTCTCCTTCCTCTGGGCCGAGTCCACTTTCATCTCAGAAGCACTGCTCTTGGCCCTGGTGTGAGGTGCTTGGGTCTCAGCCCTAATGGGACCCAAGGGACCCATTCTGGGACCTTTGTGTCTTGGGCTCTGTGTGGTTACTGAGTTCTGGGAATGTAGTTCCAGCTACAGAGGAACTGAGTTTCTAGTTTCATTGAATTGGAATTAAATCTCAGTTAAAAACAGATACTCGATTCAATTACTGAGAAAGGTAAAATCTGGATAAGACATAAAATACAGAATCTGGATACAGATCAACCATTTCCAATGGAAATTTGGCATCCAACTGAGATGTGCGGTAAGTGCAAAATAAACCTTGAATTCTGGACAGTTAGTATACGAGGAAGAATGTAATACAGTCCATTAAAGAATTTTAATGTGATTATATGTTGAAATGGTAATAGTTTGGTAATACTGGGTTAAATAAAAATTTCATTCAATTTGTTTATCTGTTTAATATTTATTTATTTAGGGTCTTTTTGAGACAGGGTTTCTTTATGCAGTTCAGGCTGTCCTTAAACTCACTTTGTAATCCAGATTGGCCTTGAACTCCTCCTACCAATTCTCCTGCCTCAGCCTCCCAAGAGCTGCGATTGTAAGTGTATGCTACCAAGCCAAACCTAGTTTCTATTTATTCATTTATTTAGTCAGTTAGTTCTGGAAATTGAACCCGTGTACTCAGTTATCTCCCCAGACCCTTAAAACTTATTTTGTAGTACTGGGGAAACAACCCAGGGGCCTTGGACTGAGCTATATGCCAACCCTTTTTTATTTTGGAACATTAGGTTGCCCTGGCTGGACTTAGACTTGTGACTCTCCTGGTACAGTTTGATACCATTTCCAGCTCAGTTCTAGGACTGAGCTGTGGGCCTTTCATGTACTAGGCAATTGCTCCACCACTGAGTTACATTGCAGTACTTTATATGTGTTTTTATTTGATTTAATTAATTTATTTTTGTGGTGCTGTTGATGGAACCCAGGGTGAGCTACATCTCCAGTTTTGTTTTTTTTTTATTTTTTAGTTTGGGACAGGGTCTGTATCAGTCACCAAGTTACACAGGCTGGGTTTGAACTTGCAATTCTCCTGCCTCAGCCTCCCCGTCATCTAGGATGACACGCATGCGCCACTATGCCGAGCTTTATTTTTACTTTTCAGTGTGGCTACTAGGAAGTTTCAACGTACATAGTAACCCACAGGATATTTTGCCAGATGGTGCCATACCCATTGTTCTACCTATTGGTTCCTCAAGTACCACTTCGCTTTATTTATTTTATGGCAATTATCATTTCCTGAAATGATCTTTGCCATTTATCAACTTCCTTGTTTAGCTCTGTGCAGCAGTGGGTGCCTGTGAGCAGTGGGTGGGACCCTCAGTGGGAGCCCTGAGCCCTGAACCAGCCGGCTCTTGGGAATGGAGGCGCCTCCCTGGCGCTGTCCTCACCTGACTGCTGGTGGGCGAAGTGGTGCTTCACGTGGTGGGCCTTCATGCTGTACAGGTAGGAGCCCTTGTGTGGCGAGCCAAAGTGCAGGTAGTAATGGATCATGTCGTAGAGGACGTAGCCCAGGAGGCCCCCTGCAAATATCGTGCCCCCCACAGCCTCCGGCAGGATGAGCCGCACCAATACATAGGCGAAGCCGATTATCAGAGAGGCGGGCACCGGCGGGAAGACCAGTCGGGAGCCGTCGAAGGGTGCCTGTGGGTGCAGAGGCCCTGGGATTAGAGTTGGCCCTGGGGCTCTCTGTGGTCACTCCACTGGGAAGATGGAGTAGGGTGGCCAGACTTCTGGTGAGAGACAGGCTGGGCAGGCCTCCATGCCTGAAAACCTCATTTCCAAGCCAGGATGGAACCTAGAAGGCTGCTCCAGAGCCCAGGGCTGGGTGTGACGTGGGTAGGAACTTGTTAGGTGCCAGACAGGAGTCTTGCCCTAGTACCAGGTCCTTTGCTTGGGGCTTTCTGGACACTGGGTGGATGGGGCTTTCTCACTAGGGGAGAATGCAGTTCCCTGGTGACATGGTCCCTGTACCCCATTTCCAAACTGGAGCTTTTTGTCCCAAAGAGGTGTTGTCACCAACTCCACAGACCCAGTGCCTGGCACCTGAATGAGATTCCTGGGCAGGGAGAGGAGGGGCGGAAGCAGGCCTGTGACTCTGTGGGCCTTGCTGCTGCCAGAGAGGGGACTGGGAAGGCCCTGTCAGCAAAGGCTTTAAAGGAGGATAGAGAGATAGCCTTGAGGTGTAGCATTTGCCAGTGTAAATAGTCATGCCGTGGCCCATTCCCAGCTGCCTGTCCAGTCATAAGGATGGGGCCGGGAAGGGACACAGGTGACTTCTCTCGGGAGTCTACCTGAAGCCAGCTCCAGGTCACGGCTGCATTAAGGCTCCCAGATGTTTCCAGCAGTCAGGAGACCAAGGCAGGAGGGCCACTGTGAGTTCGAGGCTTGCCTGAGGTACCTAGTGAAATCTTGTCTCAAAAAACCAACCTTCTCCAAAAAACTCCAAAAGCAGCAACAATAATTTAAAAAAATGCTCCCAGATAGGTAGGACGGAGGATCTGAGAAGAGGTTCCCGCTTGGAGCCTAGGCCCTATGAGCGCATGTCCTCCTGTGATGGCCGCAAGAAATCAGACATTTTGCAGAAGTGTCCAGGAGGGAGCTTGCTCTCCCCCGAGGGTGGGAAAGGAAGAGCGGAGTGAAGCTGACCTAAGCAGTGGACAGGGCTCTGGATACAGTATGCTCTGGTGCCTGGGCGAGCGCAGTACTTGAGTGACAGGTTGGCCTAGGACACCCTCCCTGCCACCGGCCACTGTGCAAGGTACTGGGAAGCAGGTCTGCTCTGGACAGCAGAGAGTTTCAAATTATTAAGAAATTAACCCAGTAAAAGACATATTGCCATTAATTCCCCTCAAAATACTCCCCTTTGCTTCAAACACACCTTTGCCCTCGCTTCTGCTGCTTTCTGCCACAGTTCTAGAAGTTCTCTTTTGTGTCTTTTGTTGGGTTGTTGTGGCTGCTTGAGGTCCTGATTCAAAGCATTGACCTTTCATCTTGCCTTTGAGGAAAACCAGAAGTCGCATGGTGTCAGATCCTTCTGACAAGGTGGAGGAGGACCCACAGCTGCCTTTTACGAGCCTGGCTTTCTGCCCTGAGGTACTCAGTGGCAGCATGCACAGTGCTTTGGATCACACTTCATAAAGACACGCATGAAAGAGAACATCCAGAACTGCTTCTGAAAGTCACCAGAGTGGTGGGATTAATGTTTCTCAAGTGCGAGGCAGGATTTTGATTCTCGGTAATATGTCTTTTACTGAAAAAAAAATCTGAATGTTCACTGAATATTTTGGTTACTCATGTTAACTACATTTTCTGATTTATACCCTAGAGGGAACATAATGTGGGGGAAAGAGACTTAGTTTTGGGAAGACAGAAATAAATGTTCAGGAAAGTCCAGGGCTGGCTCAGTGGAAGTCACTCTGGCGTGAGCCAAGGAGAGCATGGTATAGGGACACAGAGGCCTCCAGCGAGTGCAGCCTTCTTGGGCCAGAAATGGCTTCAGGCCAGCTTCCAGGACTGTCACACCGTCCTTGAATAGCTCCAGGCAGTGGGTGGTTGGAAGCACAGACTCTAGAGGCCACAGAATAGGGCACAATATTCTGGTTGTGCCAGCTGTGACCTTGGGAAGGATGTCCTTACTTCCTTAACTTCCCAGCCTGTTTCCTGCTCTATGGAATGGGAGCACTGAAATTCCATGAGGACAGGATTTTGTTGGTTTCTTTAGCTTTTGTTTTTTGAGACAAGGTCTCACTATATAGTCCAGACTGGTCTTGCACTCACTATGCAGTCCAGGTTGGCCTTAAACTCACAGTGATCCTCCTGGCTCACCTCCCAAGTGCTGGCATCACAGGGGTGTGCTACCACCCTTTGCCAATTTTGTCTGTTTTGTTCACTGACATCCAGCACTTAGCAGGCACTCAGGAGCCTTTGCAGAATGAACGGATGAATGACTAACGGAGCGGCAGTGAGGATTAAGATGATGCTTGGAGGCTGAGGCAGAGCACCTAGGATTAACAACAGCGTGCAAATGTGCACACAAACCCTGTCTCTGCCTGGCTCAGGTCCGGACACCTGGCCCAGTCCTTGCTCCATGTGATGATGTCAAGCAACCTTGCTCCCTATCATTCCCAGCCAACGCTGGACGGAAGGAGGCACAGTGTGGGTCCCAGGCTGGAACTTGAGCCACTCACCTTGTGGTGCTGGCCGTGAATTGCGAAGTGTAGCATGATGAGGTAATAACTGTTGCCAGAGGGCTTCATGTGGAACAGGAAGCGGTGGATGAAGTATTCAATGAGGCTCCAGAGAAACATCCCCAGCACAAAGAGGCCAGGGAACATGGATTCACGCACCACCACGGGGTACTCTGTGGAGAGCAAGAGAGGCATGGTCAGGGGATCTCTGTCCCCCCAGGTAGGCTGGGAGCTGATGCTCTGGTCCAGAAGTCATGGAGCCAGGCCAGGACTGTAGGAGGCACAGCAGTGGCCAGATGCTGGGCCCCACTGGAGGGGGGACCTTGTCTTGGCAAGGGGACAATCCCAATAAAGCCAGAGATACATTAGATTACTTATGGCCATCCGTAAGTGATTTGGATATGAACCAATCCAAATGGAAGGGCAGGAAAACCCAAATGCAGACTTCTCAGAGGAGGAGCCTCTGAGAAGATAGGAGAGGGCTGCTTATCAGCCTGAACCAAGGAGCAGCCTGAGGGAGATGTGACTGTCTTCAAGAGACAGGTGACTGAGAGCCAACTCTCTGATGACAACCTGCAGTGGTCCTTGCATTTCTCCACTTCCTTTTCTTTTTGCAGTTTTTTGAGACATTCTGAACTCACTTTGTGGTTCAGATTAGCCTTGAGCTCACTATGTAGCCTGGACTGGCCTTGAACTCCACAGCGATTCTCCTGCCTCAGCCTTCCAGAGTGCTGGGATTACAGGCATGTGCTACCATAACCAGCCTCAGATTTTAATTCTGGTACCACCCAACTCAGATTCAGTGGTTCTTATTGTATCCTGAACTATGCATCAGTGCAGTCAGCTGATGTGACTATGTCCCCTCTCTGGCTCCATCCTGGAAACTGCTTTTGTCTCTAGGTGGAAGCCTTGAGCCTCCACCTGTCCTCATCCCTGACTCCAGCTATGCCCCACAGCCTGTTGACTCCCAGAGCTACATGGCTTGCCCCTGGCCGTTTCTTCCCCAGGTCCACAGCACTCAGCTTAAATTGACAGATGCCCAGTGAGACCAATCCCTTTCCTTCTCCCCTCTCACTCCCACCCTTCCTGTGAGGTCCCCTATATACACAGAGACCAGAGGAGCCAGCTCAGGTCAACCCCACCCCAAGGCCATCAGCTTTGTCAGTTCCACCCCCTTAGCTCTGGCCAAGGGAAAGAAGCCACAGGGGTGCCCCACCCCATTCACATCCAAGGTCCAGAATCCCTAAATTCCTGGAATGCAAAGCAGAGCAGTAGCTGGTAGCTGCCAGGGCATGGGGAAGTGGGGAATAGGGAGCCACCGCTGTTCCCCAGGCGTGGGTGGGGCTCTTCTGGGGTGAGGAGGATGCTTTGGAATGAGACAGTGGTGTGGCTGCACAGCATTGGGGATGTACCGAAGGGTGCTGAGTTGTTCACTTTACTATGGTTACTTTTTTTTTTTTTTTCCATCTCTCACTGTTTCCTAACTATGGTTACTTCTGCTGGGTGTGGTGTGCACGCCTGTGACCCCAGCACCCTGGGAAGTGAAGGCAGGAGGATAGTAAGTTTGAAACCACCCTGGACAATTTAGTGACTTAGTAAGACCCTATCTGAAAATAAAAACAAAAAAGCTAGGGATGTGGCATGTAGCTCAGCACAAAGGCCCTGGGGTTCAGTCCCCTGTAGGAGCCAACATGCCACATGGCCAAGTGCCTTCTTATCTACAAAGCCCCAGCTCCCTCCAGTCAGGCTCCAGCTGGGTTAGGTTCTGTCACCTCAGGCCCGCTGCCTCTCCCTTGTGTACCAGGTGCTGGCACAGTGGTTTTGCTGGCTTCTCTTGTGCATATGCAAGATTATACGGTGAGACTAATATCGGATATGATAATATTTCCAGAAGTCCCACTCTTATACATCTCTTGTTTTTGTGTGCATGGTTTGGTTTTTGTATTTTTTGGAGCCAAGGTCTTGCCATGTAGTTTAGGCTGGCTCTCAATTCACTAGGCAGCCCAGGTTGGCCTCGAACTAGTGCTGATTTTGCTGCCTTGGCCTGCTGGTGGCAGAACTACAAGCGTGGGCCCTGTACCCATCTCTGGGAATTCGAGCTTTGGACTGAGGTCTTCCCTTGGCTTGCACTGCTTGCTATCACCTCAGCTCTTCAGCATTCACTCCAGGGTGTCCTTTGTACAGCAGGTGCACCTCGACCCTGCCCAGTGTCCCATTATCTCACTTTGAGGGCTCTGAGTAAGGCCCATGTCCAGGTGAGGCGCTGCAAAGCGAGGGAGGCACAGCGAGCGTTGCTTCTGGCACCACACAGCTGGCAAAACGAACCCTCCTCCCGGGCCCCTTATTGCGCAGGCGCATTGCAGCCCTCCAATCACCTCCCACCGTGCAGGAAGGCCCTCTCCTATAGGTCAAGCCTCTGCCCGCCCCCTCACTCCAGCATCACCCCGGCTGCCCATCCGGCCGGAGCTGGTACTGAGTGGCATCTCGGGAGGAATTCGGCAGAGGGATCGGGGCCAAAGCTTCAGCTTCCCCTTCCCCCTCCGGCCGCCAGTCCCGCGGCGGTGCCACTGTTGGTGATTGTTAGAGCCACGCCGGGGACAGTGGGCGATTCAAAGAGCAGCCTCCCAGCCCCGCCCTGGCTGTGCCTGAGCGTCTTCCGCGCGGGCAGTGGGGAACCTCGGCTCTAGGGCGTGCCCGGAGCAGCGCTGGGCTGGACCGGGCTGGGCCAGGCTGGGCCGGGCTGGGCTGCGCTAGGCTAGGGGTTTCCTGAAGCCTGTGCAGTTCCCATCAGATGAGGTTGCGATGCTTTAGCCATGACTATTTTTGGAGGTGGTGGTGGTGTGGGGCTGGTGCTAGGCAGGCATTCTATCACTGAGCTACGCCCATCCCACTTGGAGTGTGGCTCTATTCCTCACTCTGGTTTTATTTATTTTTAAAGTTGATGGATAAATTGAATGTGGTACCTCATTCCTACAGTCTCAGCTACTTGGTAGGCTGAGACAGGAGGATTGCAAATTGGAGGCCAGCCAGAGCAATTTAGCGACTCTGTGACACCTTATATCAAAATAAAAAATGAAAAGGACTGGGCATGGTGGTGCATGCCTCTAATTCCAGCACTCTGGAGGCAGGAGGATTGCAAGTTCAAGGTAAGCCTGGACAATTTAGTAAGACCATGTTTCAAAATAAAAAGTAATGAGGGGCTGGAAGTGTAGCTCAACTTGAGGGCCCTGGGTTTAATCTCAGTGTCTCACACACATGCACGCACAGGTAACACATACATACCTACAAGTCAGATGTCAGGTGTGTATGTGATGTTTAAAGTAAGCCCACCTTTGGAATGACCGAGTTTCCTCAGCTCCGAGAAGGAATTAACAATACCTTTCCTATGGGGCTGCACACGGCCTGGCCCTATGGCTTGGGGACGCTTTGGGACTCTTACACTGTAATCTACACCTCATCCGCAGTGAATCTCCTGACAAAGACGCCCAGGCCCCACCTTTTCTGACACAAGGCTCAGTGAGAAGCGACATCCTTTCATTGCTGTGCCACTTGGCAAAACGACTTTGTTTAGTTTATGCTCATGGGTTGCTGGGGTTTGTACCCATGTGGGGTAGGGTGAGAGCCTGACAGAATTTTTCTTTCCACAGGCCTCACTTAGAAGTGTGTGTGTTTGAGACAAGATCTCACTATGTAGTTCAGGCTGGCATTAACACACTGTGTAGCTCAGGCTGGCCTTTAATTCACAGACATCCTCCTGCCTCAGCCTCTCCAGTGCTGGGATTATGGGCATGACTGCCACACGTGACTCGATCAGAATTGTCTGAGGTGTGGTCTGGGGATCTGTACTCTTTGAAATCTAGGACCAGGGCAAACATGGGTCTCCTGCCTCCACAATGGCTCCCTGGAAGGCGTTTAGGAAAGAACCTGGCATTACCTGATGTGAGCGACTTGAAGAGCCGGACGTTTCCCTGGGTGAAGATTCCGTAGTAGGACCAGCTCAGGTACAGCACCAGGGGCACCCAGGTGATGGGGACACTGTACCTGCAAGGACCACCAAGGTGAGAGAAATGCATGGGCTGTGGCTCAACACAGCCCAGCTTTCCTAAGGGCACACATCTCAGTGAGAGAGGGGACAGCAACACTAAAGCAGATGTAGAAGTATGTAGCCACCTGAGGTCAGCGTGGCACTGGTGTGGGGGACTGGGGAACAGAAAGGACAGTCCTTCTGCCCCTGCCTCTGAGGTGAATCACTGGAGAGCCGTGGGGGTCTCTGCACAGTTGGGTAGACACTGCCCTCTTGTGGCCAAGGAGCGAATTGAAGGCAAATTCTTTACATGAGTGTTAAGAGGCTGCTAAGCCCGCCAGGGAGTCAGATATGGAGGAGGGATGGCCTTTAAAGTGGTTTCCGGCTATATGTGGGGTTGTCTTCCACTCATAGACAAAATCATACACAATAAAGGATTACCCCTATGGCATGTCTGGGCCTTCCTGCGAACCCCTAGGGAGGAACCCTGTTGCCCCAACCCCTTCTAGATACACCGGGCACCATTGGGAGACGGAGACAGCCTGGGCCAGACTGTGGGACTCACCAGACTGTCTTGGATAGGCTCTCCATGAAGTCGGACTGGAAGAGGCGGATGGGCCTGCTCACTGGCTGGTGGACCCACTCGTGGTACTTCTCTCCCAGCTGGCCCACCTGCCACAGGAGGGGCTTCTTCCAGTCTACCAGGTCCTGCAGGGGACAAGGAGGCCCTTGATATTCTTGCCTCCCCAGGTTCTGTTCCCTGGCTCCCGCTAACAGCATTCCCCAGCTCATGTAGCCTGTGTGGGGTACCTGCCTCCCTCCCTTGGGAGTGACCCCAGTCCTTGTCACAGCCCCAGCAACAGCCTGCATGAGGGTTCAGCTGGCACCCAGGAGGCCACAGCCAGCTCTGGGGAATTAGAAGCCTGGGCTGATGGGTCTTGGTGTTGGCCTGGTAATTTGCTCATTCATTCAAAAATCTGCTTAATGTTTGTGTATGTGTGCACGTGTGTTCATATCTGTAAATGTGACTGCTTGCGTGTGAATGGCAGAGGCTGGAAAGAGTCAGTCATCAGGGATGTAAGAGGCCACCTTTGGTTCATGGAGGTCAGTGCTCAGTCAGCATCAATCTGGGCTACACATCCTGGTAGCATTTACTGTGTGGCCTTGGGAAAATGACGTGGCCTTTCTGAGCCGTTTCCCTGGCTATGCAATGAAAATAATAGTAATGGTATCTGCCTGAGTGGTAGTTTAGTGGTGGTGCAAGGCAGGATACTGGTACCAATGTGCAGGTGTAAGGTGGCTGAGAAGGGCTTTGCAGATGATCCGTGATTTGTTCACGTCACATAGAAGGTTTGGAGAAGAGACAGAGTGAGGTGGGCACAGTGGAGGCGAAGGTGATGTCAGTCTATCTGGTAGTTTGTTATTTTTAAGACATGGATTTGGGGCCAGGGATATAGCTCAGTGGCATAAGCACCTGCCTGGCAAGCACAAAGTCCTGAGTTTGATTCCTGGTTTAAACAAAACAAAACAAAACAAAGCAAACAAGATACAGATTTGCTGTGTATTCCAGCCTGGCCTTGAACTTACTATGTACCTCAGGCTGGCCTTGAACTTATAGTGATCATCCTGCCTCAGCCTCCCAACTGTTGGGATTACAGGTCTGCACCACCATGTCTGGTTTATATTTGGGGCCCTGCCAGGTTTTAGACAGTGAACACTTTGTACCTGTCCAGAGCTGGCTGCACCCTCCAGCCCCCAAGGCAGGCTGAACACAGAGCCCAGGGGCACTCAACTCATAGTAGATGTGGGGAGGAAACAGGAGAGACCTTATCTGTATCAGTGACATATTTGTCTTATCTTTGAACTGTATCTGTGCTTGTCCTAATGCACAGGATACATGAGTACATTTGCACTTCCACATGATGGATTAAAATGGACACAGAGCAGAGAATGTCCTCAGCAGGTTTAACTAACAGGGACACAGATTGAAAGAGCCTGGAGGCTGCATCTTTAAGCCTTAAAGATTTCTGATGATGCAGTGAACTGGTGGATTAAAAATCAGGAACAAACTTGGAGCCAGGGAATGACCTTCACAGCCTGGCTCTGCTGTTGGTCAACGTTGAGGTTTTGAACAAACATCTTCCTCTCTTAGGGGCCCAACCCAGCACCCCAGCTGCAGTGAGGCTCACACACACACACACACACACACACACACACACACACACACACACACACGAGAGCGTTCCTGGAAGCTGCTTCTGTTGGCTCAGCCTGGCAGGTCTCGGAGCCCTGCTGAAGTGAAGCGGTGCCCTAATTCAGTTTACGGCCACTTTCTGCTTCTTAAACTGGAAAGTAACCCAGGGGTGTCTGGAGCTCCTCACACTCCAGCATCAGCCTAACCGACCTGGACATGGCTCCCTGCCTGATGCTTGCACCCTTGTGCTCTGCCCCTGGGCTCACAGCAGCTGGAGTCCTCGCATATGCGCTCCCCTGGGTCCCCCAACATGAACCGCGTGCCCTACCACTGCCACCACCAGAGAAAAGCAGCAGAGGCCCAGCTCAAGGTCTGTGTCTGCACTTTACCTGGCAGTGCGCTGCCCTGCAAAGCCTGCCCTCGAAGCTGCCCAGGTTCTCAGGCGAGGGTGCAGCCCTGTGCTGGCTGAACTGCCACAGGGACCCCATGCTCACAGGGCACGAGTGGCTCTGAGCGTTTTAGGCAGAGGAAATCATTCACTCTTCGCCTTCCCCAGCTAGGCAAATGTCCTTGTTGTCTGTCACTTTGCAGGTCTGCCCTGATTTTCGCAGATGTTAATGTTTGCGGAGTCTTTTTCTATTCTTTCATGCTGCATGTATCTTGATAGTGTAGTCCTCTCTGTCTTTTTGTCACTATGTCATTTAGGCTGGTCTTTTTTTTTTTTTTTTGTCTTTTTCCTTTTTATCGGTACCGGGGATCGAACTCACGACCGCCTGCTTGCACCGCTGAGCTAAACCCCCAGCCCCATTTAGGCTGGTCTTAAACTCATGTTGTAGCTCAGGCTGGCCTCAAACTTGTAGCAATCTCTGTGCCTTATCCTCCCTCGGGACGGGATTACCAGGGTGCATCATCACACCCAGTTATAGTGCATCTCTTTCAGACAGCATACAGTTGGGTCTTGATTTTCTTTTTTAAAAATATTATTGAGATGCTAGAGTATAGCATCGTGAGGAAGACAGGAAGGAAGGGAGTCCCCTGGACCCAGAAAGAATCTGAACCAGAACTGCTGCCAGCTTCCTCCAGCAGCTCCTGGCTGGGTGCAGACCGGTAGAAACTGCTTGGACTGTAGGGAGCCCGGTGAGTCTGGTCTCAGGCAGGCCTGCTAAGGTTATCTACTACTCTGCCACAAAGCAACGGCTGGCTTGCTGGGATACAGTGGCACCATTCTGGCCTCTGTCTTCACAGACTGCTAGTGAACCAGAGAGAATCTTGAAAGTGGATTGTGGGTTTTCGTTTGTTTGCTGGTTTTGTTTTTTTCTTTTCTTGTTTGTTTTATTCAGTTTGGTTTTTTATTTCTTATTCTGTGGTGTTCCTCCCCCCTCCCCCCCCGTACTGGGGATTGAACTCACGACCTTGTACTTGCCAGGCAGACGCTTATGCTGCTGAGCTAAATCCCTGGCCCATCTGTTTGGTTTTTTAATAAATGTGAGAGTGGTTCCTGTCCTCTTTGTGGGTGTGGTTCTGATTTGTTCTACCTTTTATCTCTTCCATCTCTTTTTTTTCAATCTTCTGCACAGCTTCCCCAAGTTGGCAAGACCCATCTTTGCCCTCAAATCTTACTTGTAATCTCTTTCTCCTTTTCCACTTCTCTATTTTCTCTTTAATCCATTCTAAATTTTAACCCAGAGGGCAAAATCGACATATTAAAGACTTACATATTACATGTAGTTATCTGGTTTGTTTTATAGTTTGTTATATAATCACAAATCTAGTTCATACTGTTAAAAGTTGCAGATTAAGGGTTAGCTCAGGGGCTAGGGATTTAGCTCAGCGGCATAAGTGCCTGCCTTGCAAGCAGGCAGTCGTGAGTTCGATCCCTGATACCGATAAAAATGAAAAAGACAAAAAAAAAAAGGGGTTAGCTCAGTTGTTTTATGGTCTGTGTTTGATGCTATTGGTACAACTGTAGCCAAAATTGACATAATTGTCCTAAACAGCTGTTGGTCCTGGTGTTCCATGACTGAGATTAATTAAGGGTCACAGAAAATACTGTGGCACAGCGATAAAGAACCAGGGACCAGGCCAAACAAGCAACAACTTCTCATCTCCAACAAACTGAAGAGGTAAATTCTTTCAACAGACTCAAAACCCAAAAACCAGCTATACCTAGAAGATACCTCAGAGAAGTAATCATCATCTATGTGTCCTAAATAAAACCAATAAAGCAATATACCACAGGCAACTTACAAGCATCAGCCCAAGAATTAAACTAAAAAAGAAATGAGAAGACACTTAAACAAGATGCAATCCCAGACATCCCGTTCACCAAAGGCAGACATAGGGGGCAACGAACTGGGACAATCTGAAAGCCCCCCACCAGGTCTCTCTGAAGTAGAAATAACAAAGCAATTGAATGAGGCTCTGGAAAAAATAAAATCAGAAATAATCTCTCAGATAACTACAGTGATTTCCCAAATACACACCGTTTTTAGTGACAGTAGAGCAGACACAAACAAAAACATAGAAGAGCTTAAGCAAATTATGGAAGTGCAGCATAGGAAAGAAATGGAATGCATAAAGCAGATTCAAGCAGATACCCAGGAGAATAAAAACTCCACTAAGTATTCAAAGCAGATTCTGCCAATGTGAGGTCAGGCTCTCAGATATTGAAGACAGGCTTGCAGTGAGGGACCAGGAAAAGAAAGATTTCTCAAAATTAGCAAAGCACCATGAGAAATCAATCCAGCAGCTGCTAGATGAGACAAAGAAGAATAGCGTAAGATTGATTGGAGTCGATGAACAAGCAGGAGATACCACAAATGACATTAAAACACATTCACAGACATCATGACAAAAAATTTTCCTGGTAGAGAAAAAGAATTTGACATACAAATAAGTGAGGCATATAGAATTCCAATTAAAATATAATTAATCCAGTTTACTTGTACTGATTTTTAAAGTTAACATATATATATATATATATATACATATATACATATATATATATATATATATATATATATATATATATTTTTTTTTTTTTGTCTTTTTCTTTTTTATCGGTACTGGGGATTGAACTGATGACTGCCTGCTTGCAAGGCAGGCGCTTATGCCGCTGAGCTAAATCCCCAGCCCCAAATTAACATATATTGGCCTTAGTTTTCTGTCTAATCGATCCCTGCCTTTTGTATTTACTTACTTATTTTTGGGTCCCAGGAATCAAACTTAGGATCTTATGTTTGTCAGGCAGGTGCTTGTGCCACTGACTATATTCTTGGCCCCACAATCCCTGCCTTTTAAATTGGAGTGTTAAGGCTATACATTGTTGGGTTTTTTTTTTTTTTTGGTCTCTCTCTCTCTCTCTCTCTCTCTCTCTCTCTCTCTCTCGTCTTTCCTCTCTCTCTCTTTCTTTTCTTTCTTTTCTTTTCTTTTCTTTTCTTTTCTTTTCTTTCTTTTTTTGGTACCAAGGATCAAACTCACGATCTTGCACTTGCCAGGCAGGCACTTAGCCACT